CATTCTCTAAAAAATAATATTCATTACTCTATTTTTCTCTCATTAATGAGAGACAAACACACCCTAAAATTCAAAATTGTTATGTTGAGGATATCAGTAACTTGATGGGAAGATGACATACGTAGTTAGGGAGAAGTTGTTGAATAACGCGATAATAAATTTTGAAGAGCCCTGCTACATGGCCATATATCTTTTCTCAACTTTGAAACTATTAGAGGATATTTATTTATTTAGTTTCCATTTATAACCTGCATATAATCCGGGATTTCTTTGATTGTATAACACAAAATCTTTCCTTGTATATTGTGTAACACATTAAAATTGTGATGTCCCAATTTCTTATGCCAATCAAAGATATCTAAATGAGCAGAATTACAAAAAATGGGAAAAGATGAAACAAGCTTCGGTTAAATAGGAAAGATACGCCCCTCCTTAAGCCCCTTCACGATCGTCCTCCTGGACACCTGATCCTACACACGACAACCAGAAGCAGAAAAAGAAACAGTGCAATCGTTATCAACAAGTTGGCCAATAGACAGAAGATTAGTGGATAAATTTGGAGACACTAAAACATTAGGCAAATCCGGTGATATATCGCCTACAACTGAGATAGGAAGTGTATTACCATCACTAGTGTGTATCTTGAGAGGTCCATTATATGGTCTACGATTACTAAGCAATTTAAGATCACGAGTCATATGGTTAGAAACACCTGAGTCGAATAACCAAGAAGAACGAACAGGTTGAGAATTACCTGAGACACCTAAGGCAGACAAAGCAGAGACAACCATTTGTTGAATTATCTCAGGAGTAATGGGAGGGTGAGAGGAACTAGGAGAGGTCGGAGCTCGAGTAGGAGCAGATGACAGATCAGAACCAGAGGTTAAAGTGGCAGCAGCAACATAACTTGTTCCAATCTTGCAGGGAGGACGAGTAGGACACTCTTTAATGACATGGCCTGGTTGCAATAATTGCAAACTTTTCGTGGACACTGAAGAGCCATATGACCAAACCCCTTACAGCTGTAATCACTAGACATATCCCGAGGTTTGTATTTTCCTTGAGCCACATATGCAACAGGAATCGGTGCTGCGAAATTCTGATGTTCCAAAGAGTTACGAGTGATAAGACATTGTTCCTCCCTCAGTAATTCACCCAAACAATTATCCAATGTAGGAATAGACTCTCGATTCATAAGGTTGGACCTGACAGATTCAAACTCAGTTCTCAATTTCATAAGAAATTGATCCCTCTTGGTGACGTCGTAGACAGCCTGTACAGCCTCCAAACTTTCTGGTGAAATCGAAGCATTAATGATATCTGTCTATTCAGCCCAAAGGTTACAAAAGCCGGAGTAATATTCGTCAATGGAGCGAAATTCTTGCAAAAAATTTGCCAATTCAAACTCCAACTGAAGGCGCCGAGCATTGTTATTTTGAGTATAGACTTTCTTCAAGTATTCTCACATAGAACGAGCTCTAATTTATAGGGCCTGAGATTAAGAACAATATTTCCCTCAACAGTACCGATAATCCAAGCCATAATTCAGGAATCCTTGATTTTCCAGGCAAGATACTTCTTGTTTTCCTTCTCTTGATCAGGAGGCGGAATGCTTCCATCAATATGTCCCCACAGATCTTCTTTCCCTTCAATCAACAACTGAAAATAAAATGCCCATGACGAGTAGTTCTTCCCATTAAAACGAATACAAATGGAGTCGATTTTCTCAATTGATATGATGAAAATAGCATATATCCCACCAAAATAATTAATCACAACTTACCAACCAAAAAGCTGCCCAAGCCCAACAAAGCAGCCCAACAAAGAGACAATTAAAAATTTAAATTGTCCAATACAATTAAAACCCCAACACAACTAACCCCAACACAATTAAGCCCAACATAATCGTAACCCACCAGAGGAGGAAACTTCACACGTCTATAAGAAGAAGAAGAAGGTTCGACAAGCGACAAGCGATGAAGGTGCCGACATCGAAAAACGCAGATTGCAGAAGAAGTCGAAGAAACTATGAAGCCCAGTCTTGACCAGGAAGAACACAGAACATACCAAAACACCAAAGAAACTATAAAATCCAGATTCTTGACCAAGAAGAACACAGAGGACGTCGGCTAGAGGTGCCGAAGCCGAAAAACCCGAAGAGAAAACGCAGGTGGTGCCGGAATAGTGAGCTACGACCCTCGATTGAGATGAACACACAAAAAAACAGAGATCCAAATGCGAGCAGCACCCTCGATTGCAATGAATACTATGAGCAGATTTCTAAAACCCTAAACGACACATTCGATAAGTAATTTAGGGCTCTGATACCATGCCCATTTTGCTGAATGATTTTCTCGTATGTATTGCCTTCAATTTATAGAATGTTACAACAATATACAAGGAAAGATTTTGTGTTATACAATCAAAGAAATCCCGGATTATATGCGGGTTATAAATGGAAACTAAATAAATAAAATGACCACTGTACGTCTTTTGTTATCATTTGCCGCTTCCCAGTTATGGTCTTTACATCAAATGGATGTGAAGAACGGGTTCCTCCACGGAGACCTCAAGGAGGATATCTATATGAAACTTCCATCTGGTATGCCTCTTCCTTTATCAGATTCTGTTTGTAAACTCAAGCGCTCTTTATATGGTCTTAAGCAGGCTCCTAGAGCATGGTTTGACAAGTTCCGCCGCACCCTTTTGGATTTTTCCTTTACTCAGAGTCAGTATGATGCATCATTGTTTCTTCACAAGAGTAAAGATGGGATCGTTTGTTTGTTAGTCTATGTGGATGATATTATTATTTCTGGGTCTGATCACATCCTTATTCTAAAGCTTCAGCAGCATCTTCACTCGATTTTCCATATGAAAGATCTGGGTCATCTCACTTACTTCCTTGGATTGGAAGTCCATACAACACCTCACGGTATTTTCTTGAATCAACATAAATATATTCAAGACTTGATTGGATTGGCTAATTTATCTGAAGCCTCATCCGTTGATACTCCATTGGAGCTTAATGTTAAATATCATAAGGATGAAGGCGACATTCTTTCAGACCCTACTCTATATCGGAGGTTGGTGGGCAGTCTTATCTATCTCACTGTCACACATCCTGATATTTCCTTAGCTGTTCATACGGTCAGCAAATTTATGGATGCTCCTCATCATCTACATTTGGGGGCTGTTTGTCGTATTATTCGATACCTTATTGGGACTCCTCATCGTGGTTTTTTTCCCTTGGGGGATATCCCTTGAGCTCACCGCTTATAGTGATGCTGATTGGACTGGTTGCCCTTATTCTCATCGATCTACCACTAGGTGGTGTATTTTTCTAAGTGATGCTCTCATTTCTTGGAAATGTAAGAAGCAGGATTGTGTTTTTAAGTCTTCCACTGAGGCTGAGTATCGTGCTATGTCCGTTGTTTGTTCTGAGGTTGTATGGTTGCGGGGTCTTCTTGCCGAACTTGGTGTTTCTCAATCTCGGCCTACACCACTCCATGGTGACAATACTAGTGCTATTCAGATTGCGGCAAATCCTGTGTATCATGAACGCACCAAACATATTGAAGTGGATTGTCATTACATCTGAGATGCCTATGATTCCAATGTCATTGTTCTTCCCCATGTGGAGGTGCTCAACAGGCTGCCGATATCTTCACTAAATTTTTGATTCGCCATCGCCATAACTTTCTTGTCAGCAAATTGATGCTCGTGGACTCACCAGCATCAATTTTAGGGGGGGGGGGGTATCAGAGGATATTTATTTATTTAATTTTCATTTATAACCCACATATAATCCGGGATTTCTTTGGTAGTATAACACAAAATTTTTCATTGTATATTGTTGTAACATTCTATAAATTGAAGGGAATACATACGAGAAAATCATTCAGGAAAATTGGCAGAAACTACATGGTAGAAGTAATAATCATGTAATAATTGTCACAAAATCGAACTTTATAAAAGTAGAATTGAAAAGCTATCACAAGGACAAGGTTATGCTCATTGTCATTGATCCCTTTTCTTTTCTTTCTTTAATTTTTAATAACTTGAATACTATTAATGTAAAAGAACAGAGTGATAAAGAAAAAGTATTATTAATTTAGGTTATTTTTAATATTTATTTTTCTTTCATTATCAGCTGTTTTAGGAGTCTTTTATTATTAGTTAGTAGTTGAAGGACTAGAGAGCAATTTTAATTCCAATTAGCAATTTGAACCATGCAGGCTGGCAGTATTATATTTATTCTTTAGCTTTGTTATTGAATAAAATTATATTGACTCGGAGGTTCTCCAAGTTCATTTTCTTTCTTTCTTTGGAAAAAAGAGAGAAAAAAAAAGCACTATTGGAATGTAGGGTTTCAAAACCATATGCCAGAAACCTCTCCATTATTTCAACAGACAACATATGGTTAACCTATTCCTATAAATAGATGAAGAAAACCTTAGCTAATATATTTCTTTGACCAAACAAGCAGACATGGGCATGTAAAGCTTAAAAATTTGCTTATATGTTTTCAAACATATATTTTTCTGATTAAAGTAAAAAATAAATAAATCATTTATTTTGATAGTAACCACTGCATTTTACTTTTAAAAGAAATAACCTTTGTTTTTACTTAAAAGTAAGAAAAGTAATGTATTCAATCAAAAGTTTACTTAAAAGAACCTAGCCAAAGATGCTCAGTGACACCAAAAGAAACGGACTTCATTATTTGCTAAAGTTGAATGAATTCAACCATTTACAAATTCAAAGTACTTTGAGCTAACCAGAATATGAGCAAAATGGACATTATATGATAAGAATGTCAAGATAATTACGCAGACGTAAATTGGAATATGCTTTGAAAACTTTGATTTGTGTGCAGTATCATTGCTGCCTAATTTGTGAGAGTTAATTTATCAACTCATTGACTCTACCAATGAACTTTGTGTTGTGTGCATATATAAAGATTGCATTCTGTGGAAACTAAACTTTTTCTTCTATGACAGCATGGACAGCATCCTTGAGAGGTACCAAAGATATTCATTTGCTGAGAGGCAATTAGTTGCAAATGAACCTCAGTCACCTGTAAGTCCTGAATTCAACAAGCAAACTTTTTGTTAGTACTCGACAGTGTTGAAAGATAAAGAAATATTGTTTATTATAATGTCGAGTCCTATCTCATATTGCATACTAACATGTCCTTAGGGTATGTATTACTTGTTCGAATATTATGATTTGTATTGGTTTATATATTTGCTTAGGACCAATTCCCATGGTGGTACTCTTTTAAAATTTCCAAATTTGTAACAATATTTGAATTATGCAGGCAAACTGGGCACTAGAATACTCTAAACTTAAAGCTAGAATTGAACTTCTGCAAAGGAATCAGAGGTAAAAAATTTAGTCAGTATATTCAAGAGATGAGTAAACAATGATCACTGTTTACGGTTTCTCTTACTCTATAGTTTGCTTGTCCTCTCAGCCACTATATGGGAGAAAATCTTGACTCGATGAGCCTGAAAGATCTTCAAAATTTGGAGCAACAGATTGACACTGCTCTTAAGAATGTTCGATCTAGAAAAGTATGATGTTGGAATTATTTATATTTTCCGCAGAAATGGTTTCACTTTATTCAATTTTTTACGAGACATCTAAAGGCTCTGATTTTTTTTGTTAACAGAATCAAATGTTGCACGAGTCAATCTCTGAGATGCAGAAAAAGGTTGTCTCTTATGCACTTGTGCTTTCAATCTTAAAATTATTACTGCTTATGATGACAATAGCCACTGTTCTCTGTTGCTTTGGACTTCCATTAGTAACAATAAATGAGACCTAATAATCTCACTGCACAAATTTCAGGCATACGAGCTATAAACTCCCAACTTTCAGCCAAGTAGATTAACATCATTTATATATTATAGAAATAAAACCCCTTTAGGGTTTGTTATCATAAGTTAAGTTCCATTATAGGCAAGAAAATTTGTTATAACTTCTGGGACGAAAAGTGACGTGTCCTTGCCAACATATCAAGAAAATATCGAAAATGTCCTTTACAAAACTTTTTGGAGAAATCACAACTCACAAGCAAGAGGGCTTTTCCATCTTTTGCAGAAGTGCAATTTAAGCTACATCAAACAGGTTAATATGCTTTTGAAACTTCTAGGTTTACTATGCAATTGTTTTGTACAGAGGTTCAGAAGCACTTTGCAACTCGTGTAATTATTTGTAAATAGAAATGCCAAAAAAAGTAACATAGTCATAAAAGCTAAAAATGTGCTTCTTTTTTTTTAACGAACAAGCAAATTACGGCGCTAGATGGCTTGCTGTATTTCAAACGTACAAAGGCAAGTTCGGATGAAGCCATGGACAGTAATTAAGACTATTAGCGAAGAAAAAAAGTCAAAAATCTCATATATTATAATGCCTAATGTTATCTATCAAGTAGTATTATCATTATGATAGATGCAATGAGAAAACACTTTTGATACGATATTGTAACCTAGACTCGTTGCATTTTCTTTTCTTTTCTTTTTTAACAGGAGAAGGCATTACGAGAACAAAACAACATGCTGGAAAAGAAGGTATGTCAGTTTTTTATTTTGCAAACAAGATAATAGTTACTTTCAAAAAACGTATAAATAGAACTATAAATATAACTAAGTAAATTTTTTAAGATCGGGAAACATGCACAACACCATGAATACTGCAATTATCCTTTCTCTCCTCGAGCTGCTTGTCCCATTTCTTGTATTGAATTCGAGCCTAATAGAAATTACTGGCTGTCATCTGCAAATAGATCAAAGAGAAGGAGAAGGAAATGGCAGCACAGCCACAGTGGGAACTTCCTAATCCTAATCATGGCGCTAATGGACCACCGTTCTTAATGGCTCCTCAACTTCCTCGACTCAACATCGGGTTAGTATCTTAATTTCAGGTTTAGTAAGGACAAAGATCAACAACATTAAATTAATTGATGTTGCGAAAATAAATCTATGTGCGCGCTCAAATGAAAATATCCTCATGACATGCATATATTTGTGTGAAATCGATTTGTTTAAATATTCATATTATCTTGATAGACTGAGATGGACCCCAAAAAAATTGGATTACATGAAGTATCTATCCATCGTAATGTCCAATGTTGAACTGTAGTCTAGTGTAGGTCAACAATTAAATCTCCGTGACATGCATGATTTATTTTTATTTTTATTTTTTCAGGATTAAGGGATTTTTTTTGGTATTTTTGTTACATGAGTGTTATTTTCGTAGTTTTTGTGATTTCAGTATTGTTATGATAGTTGTGATTAGAATATTCTATAGTAGTTTTTCCTCTTATGACATTAACATTTTGTTATGGTATTCTTGAGATTTTCTTCTAGGACTAAGATTTCAATTGCATTTAAGGGTGTTCACACCACAATCTTTTTTAGTAAATGCACCATATTATAATTCTATTAAAGGTTCTTTTTGTTGAATTTAGACCTTTTTTTTTTATTTTGAAATTACTTGAAAACCTCTTTTTTTTAACACCTATACAAAGAATTGTTTTCTGAAAAATAATGTATAAATAAATTTAAAATTATGAAGCACTTTCTTTTTTGCAATTTTTTGGGATTAATTCATTTCGCCATCATGTCCTTAATTTTTATTTTATCGTCAACTTTACATTTGTACATAGTATTCATGTCAATCAATCTATGTATAAAAAAAATGGACATTTATAAATTATTAGCCCTCTTATTTTCGCTATTTGTGTCCATTAAGGTTTTTTTGTTTTTTTCATTTTAGATATTAATTTTTTTTAATTCATCGGGTTGGGTTGGGTTTTAATTGATATCCAATTCAACCCAACTTCAAATTTTATTTTTCAATTCAACCCAACCCAACCAAATTGAACTCAAATTGGGTTGGTCGGGTTGAGCAATTTGTGTTGGATTTTGCCCAGTCCTAATCCCCGCACTAACACGCGAAATTCTCACTAAAGCGAACAGAACAGTAATTGAACGGACAGATACAAGAACACTTCCAAACCTTTTATTGCTCAACAATTAAGGGAAACTCGAATATATGTGAGGTGCCAACACAATTCTGATTTGTTGCCTCCAACACTTTACGCAAAATTCTCATGCGGAATGCACAGTGGCCACAAGAAATTTGTTTATTTGAATAGGATTTAAGCTTTCTCAACTATTCTCGAACTCTCGTTATTCTTTGTGTATCAACAACTCTTGTTGCTTAGTTTTCTAATATCCTTTGTTCATGCTTGTCTCTTTTATACATTTTAATTGCTTTGTGGCTTGTTTGGTAAGTTGGAATATGCATCGTCATTCAACACTATCAATCAAGAAAAAAATTTAATTATCGTACATTGTAATCTCGAGTCGAATCGAATTGAATACTGCATACAAGAAAATACTTGGCCTAATTGTTGATAGTATGTAATTGGTATATTATACGATGCAGTGGTGCATATGAAGGAGAATCAGCAGAAGCCACCAGGAATGAACTTGACCTCAATCTGGATTCACTGTATTCATGCCATCTTGGATGCTTTACTACATGAAAAAATATAAAGACTGCTGCTTTAAGTAGCTAGTGATTATATTGGGATCAGAGAATAATATACTCTCATGTATTCTTGTGTGTGAATGTTCAGAGAATAATATACTCTCATGTATTCTTGTGTGTGAATGTATTGTCTTTGCTAATTTCCAACTCCTCTGAGCAAATTATTTATAAGACTGTATTTTACGAGGAGTATTTCGCCAGCGAAGAAACTCTAAATACGTTCAAATATGAAATAATGTTATATATGTATGTATAACATTACATATGTGACTTTGATTTATGCATTGTGAATCCTTCTACAATAATTCATATTTTCTGACATTAATGCTGCTGTATAACATATGATCTTCATTATTTTCATCTTCAACATCGTCCGTTTATTATTATAAGTGATATTTTAGAATTGAATTGCAGAAGAGAGAGGGTCTAAGGCATGTAATCGATTGATTGATGATACAGTTCGTATTTTTTCCAGTCGAACCAACTAGCCCTACCAGTTTTTATGCCCTCAAATAGAACACAACCTAATATTTTCCCTTTTACTGGAGAATAAGATTAAAGCACACAGCTTCCCAGAAAGTTTATACTACTTTCATTGCATAGAAACGCACACACGAGGAAAAAGCAAGATTTTGAAGAGTAAAACAAATTATTGATTACTGCTAAATTTTCAATCCATCATGGGCAGAGAATTAACAGAATTTTGGATGGATCAGAAAAGGGAAACAAAAAATATAGAATTTGACTTTAAAATGATATGTATCCTTCAATAATCCATATTCAAAAACATTTTATGAACTACCTTGCATCCGACATCAGCAAATTTACATTTCATATCCTCTAGCATATATCCAGTCCTTGCACAGTGGCACTTTAAACCGATTCGTCAAACAGCATAATCTAGACATAAGAAGAGGAACTAAATGAGAAAATGGAATCAAGTCAATAGAAATTCATGCTGACAATATAATAACCGTCTTCGAAATAAAACTCGAGTCTCAGCAATTTCGGGGAGGAAAGTGCACATTGCATACTTTACACTTTCACTCAACAATAACAAGAGGAATGAAAAAAAGCTAACATATATACTATAGACGCTAGTTTATTTCAAAAGCAACTGTCCACCCAGCCTAAAAAATAATTTGCCAATGCATTCAGAGGAAAACATAAATATAGCCAATTGAAGATGTCAAAATGGTATAGCTCACTTTCTGCGAGTTCAAAGCACTCCTCGCTAATGTTTTAATGGTTTTACTGGATATTATTAGGAGGGTCATGTTAATTCAGTTTACTAGTAATGTTTGTGGCTGAAGCTAAGTGCCCCGTGTCACTTGCCTTTCAAATAATTTCAGAAGGCTTTACAAAGGCCTGACTACGTAAATACCAGATGCTGTGTAAAAGGTATACACTTATCTTCTATGCAGGTCTTTCCTCCGCTGTTAGTCGCTTAGTGCTATCTCATGTATTCTTGTGTGTGAATGTATTGTCTTTGCTAATTTCCAACTCCTCTGAGCAAATTATTTATAAGACTGTATTTTACGAGGAGTATTTCGCCAGCGAAGAAACTCTAAATACGTTCAAATATGAAATAATGTTATATATGTATGTATAACATTACATATGTGACTTTGATTTATGCATTGTGAATCCTTCTACAATAATTCATATTTTCTGACATTAATGCTGCTGTATAACATATGATCTTCATTATTTTCATCTTCAACATCGTCCGTTTATTATTATAAGTGATATTTTAGAATTGAATTGCAGAAGAGAGAGGGTCTAAGGCATGTAATCGATTGATTGATGATACAGTTCGTATTTTTTCCAGTCGAACCAACTAGCCCTACCAGTTTTTATGCCCTCAAATAGAACACAACCTAATATTTTCCCTTTTACTGGAGAATAAGATTAAAGCACACAGCTTCCCAGAAAGTTTATACTACTTTCATTGCATAGAAACGCACACACGAGGAAAAAGCAAGATTTTGAAGAGTAAAACAAATTATTGATTACTGCTAAATTTTCAATCCATCATGGGCAGAGAATTAACAGAATTTTGGATGGATCAGAAAAGGGAAACAAAAAATATAGAATTTGACTTTAAAATGATATGTATCCTTCAATAATCCATATTCAAAAACATTTTATGAACTACCTTGCATCCGACATCAGCAAATTTACATTTCATATCCTCTAGCATATATCCAGTCCTTGCACAGTGGCACTTTAAACCGATTCGTCAAACAGCATAATCTAGACATAAGAAGAGGAACTAAATGAGAAAATGGAATCAAGTCAATAGAAATTCATGCTGACAATATAATAACCGTCTTCGAAATAAAACTCGAGTCTCAGCAATTTCGGGGAGGAAAGTGCACATTGCATACTTTACACTTTCACTCAACAATAACAAGAGGAATGAAAAAAAGCTAACATATATACTATAGACGCTAGTTTATTTCAAAAGCAACTGTCCACCCAGCCTAAAAAATAATTTGCCAATGCATTCAGAGGAAAACATAAATATAGCCAATTGAAGATGTCAAAATGGTATAGCTCACTTTCTGCGAGTTCAAAGCACTCCTCGCTAATGTTTTAATGGTTTTACTGGATATTATTAGGAGGGTCATGTTAATTCAGTTTACTAGTAATGTTTGTGGCTGAAGCTAAGTGCCCCGTGTCACTTGCCTTTCAAATAATTTCAGAAGGCTTTACAAAGGCCTGACTACGTAAATACCAGATGCTGTGTAAAAGGTATACACTTATCTTCTATGCAGGTCTTTCCTCCGCTGTTAGTCGCTTAGTGCTAATGAAAGAAGGGTACTCAGTACTAGAGAGTGAGATTTATATCTTCTTCATGATGTTATCGTGGTAAAAATAGCATGCCGCACATGAGGTGCAGTTTTATTATGGGAGTGTAAGAAATGAAATAATGAATTTCTTCATCTAAGTAGGAAGTTGGATATGCAACAATTTACTTCTTTCATCAGCATTTCTCACATATGTTAATGAGCCCTACTTACATAACTATCCCTGATCTTTTTTTCAAAAATATGCGCAATTTATACACAGAGAACGATCATAGGCCAATAGAACATCCTACCTTTCCACAAACAGGACAACTTACACTCCTTTCCATCCACTCATAGATACAACCGAGATGATAATGATGAGAACATTTTGTTATAATTTTAGGATTTTCTGGAGTATATTCTGCAAGAAAAATACTTCAAATATTAGCAGATTAACTAATGGCGTTAGTTCAATTGCATAAATCCTGTTAAGCACTGCAATATTTTGTTTGATCAAAAAAAATTTATCAAAAATTCCACATGTAGATACTAGATATACATAATCTATAATAATTACCTTCAAGACATGTGGGGCATACATCCTCGTTATCTGGTGAAGAGAACTCATAGCCAATTCCACTTTCCACTCTTGATGACAAGACTTTCAGAGAGGACTCGGATTGGTGTTTAGTTGACGCTGTGTCACTAAAAGATTCATCTATCTTGTGTTCTTGTAACAATTTTAGTTTCCCGTGAAAATCAGTTGGTCTATTTGGTTCCGGCGAAAGTCGGGATTGGCTAGTAACCTTCTCCTCTAATTTCATTACTACATCCTGTTGCACTTGCAAATAAGGGGAATTGCCACTGTTTGGTAATGTTCTGTCATGAATTGGATTGGTGTCGTATGAAATGTCAAGAACCGTTTCAGAACCTGAAGGAGCTGCTTGTCGATTAGATAAAGCGATCGCATGAGATCCTCTGCTGATAAATAGATTCCTGTACTGTAACAAATTTAAAATGAAGGTCATTTCTACAGCAATGAAATTATAATTATATTTATATTCAAGAGTCATGCCACAACAACAATGGAAAAAAATCTAAAGAACTGCAACAAACAAGGTGATTGGAAAATTCTCGAGTATTCTGGAGAACAAAAAGTCAGATTCACCAGATTTATTACATTTGCGTATTTGCGGCTTTCCAAAGGCAGATAATCAACTTATGAAAAGACAATATATCACCATTGTATGATATTCACTTTTTTTCTCAACTATCGAAATAGTTTAAACTAATGACGAGTGCAAAAAAGGTAATAGGACTAATCCAAACAAGCGGTATTGTCTGTTATATGCAAACATACACAAGTTAAGGTCAATTCCAATAAAATTGATATTTTATCTGGGACTAAATAGATAGATAATTAACTGATCTTCACGTCACTGGGATCATAGCTTCTCAGTTCTCACTGGACTACTCTAGTCCAATTCATATATGTCTACATTAGATTTGTTTAGCACTTTATCGAAGCTCTAACTGAATACTAGATGAAAAATCGTTTTTTAAGTTTTTTGGATAACTGGTATAACTCTTTACCAGGAAATTGACAAACCAATGTATTATTGACGAACACGAAAAACAGAGTCCTAAACAAAGGACGATGTACACTACAAAATTAGGCAAGTGAAAAGATGGCATCAAATGTTAGCACAAGATAAATAAAGTACCTAACTTTACCTTATTTATTAAGTTTTGAAAGCAGCATTTGGGACACAAACATTCTTGGTTCCTTGTATTCGATCCAGCATTACTGTCCGCATCATGAACATGGAAACAACAGCAGATGGAACTCATATTGAAGTCGTCCCAGCTCACGCCTTCTCTGAGAAAATCAATTTAAATAAAACTATGAATTTAAGATCCTTACCAGAATTGACCGTGTAATTCTAAAGAGATTCAATATTCAAAACCTTTCTTGGTTCACAAGTAAATCCATCCAAAACTAAATCTTTATCATTATCTTTCTTGCATTTTCGTTGAAACACAGCAATGCAAAATTCTTTCTTGGTTCACATGTGTTGAATTGAAGATGGCACACATAATAAAAACCATCCAAAACAAAATCTTCATTGATCTATCATTTAGTTTTGTTTCAAAAAAACTATGTTGTGATGTAGGCTGATGCAACCAATTCTCCCAAAGC